GAGATACGTGATTGCATTATTGCGTCTTATTTAAGTGTTTCGACTTACAATTAATTTGCGTCGACCAATTACGAACTGCAATTTGGTCAATTTTATTGATTCAAAAATTAATAATAAACGTTCATGTGTCAAAATGTTTTAAACAATGGCTGAGTTACTTTTAAATTGAATCAAAAATTTTTATACAACTTTAAGTTTTCATTTGGGCCGTGTGCGAGTTCGAGTAAATTGAGGTAAAGTAAATTGAAATTTACTACGAATTTTTTTCACTGCACTTATGTAAATATTTATTTATTTATTTATTGCATTTATTATTTTTCCTTAAAAGTTTTCAAATTTATTTATTTATTTATTAAACATCTTATAAAATTTTCACAACACCTAATTTACCTAAATTTTATCTAATTTACCCTACTCGAAGTTCTGGCAAATACCAACATTCGCTGCCATACCGATATAATTTACTATTTTCCTCAATTTACCATGAAATTAATCGAACTCGCATACGGCCTTAATATAACTATTATTGTAATTTTATATGAATAATTTACGTTAATTTTTAAATAAATTAGATTATTTTAATTTTTATAAAAAGATTTTAAATAGTTTTTGTGTATCTGAACTACTCTTTAAAAAGTATCTTTTAAATAGATTTTATAATGTGACTATAGCAACTAGTTTAAAATTATTAAAAAATATATTAACAAATATACTCGTACAATTATACACCCAAATATAATTAATAATTTATAATCTTTTTTGCTTTTTTAAAGAAGAAGAAAATGTTTTACAAAAATGGAACTTAATTTTTTCTTCCGCTATCTTCACTTTAAGATCTGAGCGACCTACACTCGTACTGAAGGACTTAAATAACGATTATGCACAATTGCGAATATCTACACATGTAATGACTATAAATCTTTTTCGGGGAACTGATAAGGATTTATTGCGATGTAATGTGTTTTGTCTGCTGTGGAATTGTTACAAACAGACGTAGTCCTTGTGTAAGTGCTCCTTACACAATATTACAGTAATATTGGGAAAGGAGGGGTGGGGGGGTGGAGAGCAAGCATTTGACCAAGTCACAAAAAACTGTCACAACCAAATTAATGATGTGAAATTGTTGGGCATATTAACAACATCTTCAAGGATATTACCGAATATTAGCAACAGTGTAAGCAATGGATGGATAGTTAATCCTACCCGAAAATTGGAAGCAGTGTAAATTTATTAAAGCATTACTTTCGCATTCCAAGAATAATTTCTATATGCATTCACCTAATTATTTTATGATGTTTTATTAAGTAAGAAATTTGGTAAATGTGGTTTTTAATAAAGATATATATTTATAGATAAACTGCTTTTTCAAATAAAAATATTAAATTTTTTTATGAAGAAGCATTTTTATAACAGAGCAGTGTTAGCTCTTTTCATAAGATGAGGGCCACCATTTTTTAGTTGATATTCGTAACATTAAACAATTAACCATCCCGTTAACCATTAAACAATATTAATCAATATTTATAAAATATTTTTGAAAAAATTAAATTGAAACCCGCAAATGTAGTAAAAAAATACTATTCCATCGTTAAGTTTAAAAATAAGATCATTCTTTTGCTTGAAAATTTCAGCAACTACAGTTTCTTCTCTTTCCAATTTCTTCTTAGAAATGCCATATACCATGAATTTTAACAACTTAATTTTCTATTCCTTCCTTTCCTTTTTTTGACACCACATCCAGATAAAGAGGACTATTAATAGACCAATTCTGAATCCGCTTAAATTGTCTTTTTGAAACCAAAAATTTAACTTAAAAATAGTGTGCTCATCTATGAACGATGAATTCTACTCTATGGTTGACTCGCATTCAGCTACGTCTACGTAACTCGCATTCAGCTACGTCTACGCTTTAGCAACTGTAAAAATTCCAAACTATTACCTTCATCACCAAAGTATACCAATATTATAGTCTCACAGCTATTCAGCAAAATATCCGATCATTCTAAAATTTCTTTAGCTTCATTAAAAAATAAAAAAATTCAAGCCCCGAAAGGAATATTTGCCGATAACCATACGCTGTACTTTAAAAATAACACAAAGGTTCCAATAAAAGAGATGTATATTGATATGTTCACCCAGAGTAAAACATTGCGTCCTTCCTAATTACCTAATGCTAAGCTTTGCTGTATAAAAATTGCACCCGAATAAAAATTTTCTCAACATTCAAATTTCAGATTCAAGAAGATCTGTTCAAGGTTGAATTGAAGCTATAGAGTATATTTATATCTAAGGTATATTTATAAGTACGTATCTAAGGTATATTTAGATCAATGACCGGATCTAATAATAGTCAGTTCATCAAAGCTAATAAAATATATAACAATGCCCAAGAAAGCACGGAAATAGTGTTAAATTCAATAGATGACACAGTCTCTACGATAAATGATGGAGTTTTGAACAGAATCTCGAAGTATTAGGGAATTTGAGAATATAAGGTGGTAAAGTTCTAGATAAACGAATTGATAACATTTTTATGGAAATGTACCATATAGTCTTATCGAGTAATGTCAATATCAGAAGCGAAGCTGCTTAGATACTGTCTCTTATACCGTAGGACAGACACATTTTCCAATTAAATAATTGAATGCGCTCTTGCGGAGAATAACTAAAAACTTCAATAATGGTTTGTGTCTCTGCTATTTGCTTATTTGTAATACGTATAACAGTTTTACAACCAAAGTGCCCAGATAATTTCACTTCTCACAGTTTTATCATCATAATTTGGAATTTCATTAATTTTTAATAAATGTAATTGGTACGGCTTTAATTTCTATGGCGATACGATTTCACGATGATAGATATCTCATCTACTTGTAGCTTATGTTTTCCCCACTGGACGAACTGGAGAATAGTAGTAGTATCTGGTTTTCTTATCCAAATAAATTATTAATTCATGAAACACACTATCAAAGGATTTTAAGTTTAAACATTATTAGGTTAGTTCCTCATATGATCAATTAAAGAAAATAATTTCTAATTTCTAACTTTGGACATACTCATTGCCCCATGTACATATTTTATAAAAATATAGTAGATTTGTGTAATCAAAAAAATAATCTTAGGAACAGTAAGCATACAAGGTAAAGCATATGATTTAACTTGATAAATACCTGCACGACCATCGTCACTGTTCTCTCCAAGTCAGCACACAACCACCACGTGGCCCTCTCTGGAGGGATACATTTGGATAGGATACATACTTTTGACGACACATACAAACCGTTTTAAGGAATATAATTTAATATGTACCTAAAATGTTCGAAAGTTTTACAGAGAAGATATATCTACTCAGCTAGTTAGTGTCTTCAGTCTGTTAAAATAATCAATGAGTATTGTACTCATACTAATAATCTTTACAAAATTATGTCATAAAACAAATGCTACTTCACTCTAAACTTTTTGTGAACCGGAAAATACACTCAGTCTGTTTTACAGAAACTGTCACCAAAATTTTTGAAAAGAATTATATGGTTTAATAAATTATTTTACAAACCGGTAATGGTAATCGTGGACCGACAGTTCGAACAGTGGAGAAAGTGAAGGAAATTATGTAGCTAGATTAATCTACTCTAACTCAAGGGACTGTAATGTTTTCATCCCATTGAATCGAAGTCATAACTCAAGTATAAACTTCTAGGAGTTGAAATGTATGAGTATTAAATGTATGAACAGGATAAGTAGAAACGGGACGATGTACAAAAAAAAGAGAAATATTTGCAAGAAAACGGGGTCTACGCCATTGAACCACTTGTCTACCATTGAACGAAAACGAAAAAGGCAAGTTCCGATTTGCTACAACAACAACGAGCAAGAGCAAATCACATTTCTAAGTCAAAATCCTCACATAAAACCTATCTAAAGGCAAGATCCCGGTTGCTACAACAACAATGAACAAATCTCACTTCCAAGTTAAAAACCTCACTTGAACCCTGTCTAATGTAAAATTCAAAGACGAATTTTAGGTTTTTCTCCTTTTTATTCATTTTTTTTTCAAATTTTTATTTATATGCAAATATTAAATTTTTTTTTTGTAGTTTATGGTTTTGTAATTTTTTTTTAAGTTTTTAATTTAAATTAGCAATATTACAATAATATTAGCAATTTTTAATTACTTCAAACTTAATTCTATCACTTTTTAAGTAGACTTACATACGGATATTATAATAGTATAACGTATTATTTTATTTATAATTTTTTTTTAAATAATAAAAGAGAAAAAAATAAAAGAATAGCATTAGAAAATATTTTCCCAAATCAACATTTTTACATTTCGATTCATTCCATATTTAGGCATTTACTTAAAATATCAATAATTCAATATAAAATATAAAATATTCGTGCGCGCAGCAGTAGGCGGCGTTTTATAATTTATATATATGTATATATATGTATATATATATATATTTATTGTAATTAAAAAAGTTTAGGTATTTACAGGAAGATAAAGAACAAAAAAAATGTGCAATGGCAACAAAAAGTGTATCGCGCTTAATTTACTTACAAAAATAAATCATGAAATCATTTACAATTTAAACTGAATTTTGAACATTTTTACTTTTTTTGGCTTTTTAATAATATTTATTCATATATCTCATATTTTTAATAATTTAAAAATAAAATATTTTTCGTACAATAGAAATTCAATTCCATACTAAAAACAAAAAAGGAAAAAAATATTATTATGAAATCTTACATACGTAATTATTGTTTATTTATATAGAAATATTAGTTAAAAATTTAATAAGTTTAGAATAAGTTTATGGTTCAGTATGTTTATCATTATCATATGTTTATATTTATATATATTGGACTAACTTTTAACATATTAAACATCTTAAAATTTTGTCAGTTACGATATTTATATAACAATAAAAATATAAATCAATATAAAAAATATACAAGTAATAAAAATATAAATAAATACTAAATATTTTGCCAGCAATTATATTTAATTTTAACTAATTTAATTTTTTTTTACTTTTTCTGATTTTGTTTCAAATGGTCGCATACGCCACTTATAAAGTATTAAAAGCAATTTAGAAAAAAAAATAATAGTCTTAGGAAAACAAATCTTATAAACTAAATTTTAAATTAAAAATGAATATCGAATTCATTTTCTTAAAAGCGACTATGAATTTCACACGGCAAACATCAACATAGGACTCCGGCAGTTTAAACGTGTACCTTTCTTTAAATTAATTAATTAATAACATATAAAAAAATTCTCTAGAATAATTATTATTCAAATTATTTATTTATCTGATGATGACGATGCTGTCACTGTTTTCATTTTTGTTGCTGTAATGGTTCCCTCTGCTGATGTCGAGTCTGTGGAAGTTACTTTATTTTGTAGCTCCGCCGTGGTTTTCAGCGCTGGCGCTGAATTCACAACGGACGTGGTCGTGGAATCTTTATTTTGTACTTGTGCTGATTTCGACTTATGTGGTTGTTTTTGTTGTTGTTGTTGCTGCTGCTGCTGCTGATAGTGTGGTTGATGATGATTATGGTTATGATGATTTTGACGGTTTTTTGTTGCTAAGCCTGTATTGCTGCCACCACCACCACCACGTCGCAAATCATTTGGTGAGCCATAACGATAATTTCGATTAACAATTTGTGGTTTATCACCCAGAGAACCACTACGAACTCTGACATTTCCACTTCCGAAGGAACCTGTGCGTCTTCTGTTATTATTATAATGATTGTAATTGTTTTGTTGTTGTTGTTGATGCTGCTGCTGTTGTTGCTGGTTATGATTATGTATGGGTGGTTGCAATTGTGCACGAGGACCAACGTAGTCACTTCTATTCGTAATCGTGGTATTCGGCCTTCGACCGTGCGATACGACCACAGCCGTACCTTCACTCTCAGACACACTTCGATGGCGCTGGAAACTACGACCTCTGTTGAGTTTACCAACGCCTTGTAACATTTCGTTAATTTCAGGTTCCACAACACGAAAATCTTCTATAGTTTTAAATTTCTTAAGATATTCACTCAATTTTGGTTGAACATCAAGTTTATTTGCATTTTTATAGTATTTTAGGAAAGCCCAGAATTTTTCGAGACCATATAGTTGACCTAAAATTATAGAATTTAATATATTATTTACAAATTCTCAACATGTTATAAAAGATAATTTTGTTATACAAAGTGCATATTCTTACATTAAGTATGGAACTCACCTGTTTCGTAATCGGCGATAGTTTCGTCTTGAAAATCTGAATATACATTTGGTCGGAATTTCTTTTCTAGACCATATGAAAAGAAACGGAAAAGACATTCTAGACCGTATCTAAATCCATTACCCGCATCCTCTAAAGCCAGCGTACGGAATTCGTTGTACATAGTTTTATTGAAATTTTCTCGCAAGAAGAAGGACCAGAATCGGTATAATGTATTCATTTCCTGAGACTGTCCATATCCCAAACGACGACGTTCCTTAAGGCAACGCGAGTGATATTTATGATATGCTTGTTGTGTGAAATTATTTTCTTTGAGCAACGAATGCGACGGATGTTGGAACACAGGCAATGATTGTGGTACTGAAGATCCGTATGAAGAAGTCGTAGGCGAAGTGCCTGCAGAAGACCCCATAGAAGTAGTACGCGGCCTGTGCTCAACTGAGTCCAATAACCAACCAACATGAGCTTCTACAGGCGGATTAGATGAATGTCGTGTCTTGCGTTTCCGTGGAGTACGCAAATCAATTGAATGTGTATTTGGCGCAGCATAAAATCGTGCACGACGTGATTTTGTTGTTGTGTTCAACGTCGAATTCAAAGTTGAATTTAACGTATTATTAAGTAGTGTGTCATCATCATCATAGGCTGGAGGAGGGGGTGGTGGAGGTTGTTGTTGTACACGTTGAGAACGTGCACCACCAGCAAGCATTTCGAAGTCTTTTTGCGAGATAACATTTACAGTACGGTATTCGTTGACTACATTAGTTGTTGTCCATAAATCTTCTTCATAATTAGCTAGTCCATCGTTAATGACATTTTCCAAGTCTTGTGTAATTTTTGTACGTGAAGTGAAATCCGCAGTACGGTCATAACCTTCGTGTTTTGGAACTCTCTGCACTTGTGCAACAATCAATAATTTATTTATATCTCTATCAGCAAACTCGTAATCAGATTCGTCATCATCAGAATAATTTTCAGTAAAGTTATTTATGCGTCCGGTAGCTGGTATGGGGTCCATTAGCTCTTCGTCGAATTGGAAATCTAATTCTTCCTTCTCGATGGTAGCTGATGGATGAGACTGAGCGGATGTTGCAGAAACTATTTTAGAGGAATGGGAAGATTGTGCAATGGCGGAGGCATTAGATGGTAATAATGTGGTGGCGGTGAATTTCGTATCGATTTTGTTCGTGGATGATTTGGATGTGGATGTAGAGGTGTTTTTATTGTTGGTTTTGTTGGTGGCGATAAGCGATTGAGATGGAATTTGTGTCGAATTTTGATTTGTTGATTTAATATCTTTTAAAGCATTTGATTTTGATCGTCTTTTTACCTCTTTCCACATACCATCAGGATCTACTCCATCTGTCTCTATTGGCACTTGCTTTGCATTCGTGTCCTCTTTATTTGTAGCATCACCACTCTTCATATTGTTTTGCTTCTGAGTAGTTGAAGAAGACTTTGGTTGTGAAGTTGTTCCCTTGATATCTACAACTGCTTTAACACTTTCTGCCAAACCGCTTAAATGATCTGCCAATTCAGCTACTGCTGCATCGGAACTTTTCAATTTTTGTTTGGCCGCTTCGGCTTGCAATGCACTTATAACATTTACCGGTGGTAAAGACGGTAAAGTGGTTTCATTTGTCGTATTTTCATTTGATATTATTGACGATGTAAGATTGAGTGGATTGCGAGGTATTGGTGGTGGTGGTATACTAGTTAAAGGAAGCGCTGCCATTGTAGAAGTAAGAATTGGTGGCATTGAAGATTCAGGTACATCCACCGTTATGTTAGACTCATTACTCTTTTCTAATGGTGACAGATCAATAGCTTCAGATGCAATTTCTTCTGCTGCATCATAAGCTTCGTCAACGATTTCTTCACTCTTAGGATAAAATGATGAATGAACTGCACTCACTATCTGTGCAGTTTCGATCACATCTTTTATTGGCCAAATACTTGGATTCGTCTTTGTACGAACTTTATAGCCTTCTAAGAGTTCTAATTTTTCTGATTCTTTTATTGCCGCTATTATAAGAGCCACTTCAGTAGTTAGCGCTAAAACGCGGTGAAAGGATGCAATCAATGTCACTGGAATGCAACCTTCGGGATCCATTTTACGACGCAAGAAGAAATCACCAGTGAGATTCTCTTCACTGAAATAATATTCACTAAAAAAAAAACAAAATTTATATTAGACTTTACCAAGATAATAATAATATCAATAATAATAATATCAATAATAATAATAATAATAATAATTACAAGAATAATAATAATAATAATTACAAGAATAATAATAATAATAATTACAAGAATAATAACTACAATAATATAAAAAAACATATATACGTACACTTTAATATAAATGAAATGATAAATAATAAAATAATTAAAATGAAAAATTATAAAATAGAAAAATATATATATATAATATACAACAAATATAAAAAAAAATAAATGAATTGAAAAAATAAATATAATTAAATAAATATAATAAAATAAATATGATAAAATATATAAAATAAAATATATAAAATAAAATATATAAAATAAAATATATATAATAAAATATATATAATAAGATATATATAATAAAATATATATAATAAAATATATATAATAAAATATATATAATAATATATAAACAATAAAATATACATAATAAAATTGATATTATAAAAAAAATAATATAACATAATAAATATTATTTCATATGTAATATAATACAACATAATAATATAGTAATATAATATAATAAATAATGATATAATAAATAATAATATAATAAATAATAATATAATAAATAATAATATAATAAATAATAATATAATAAATAATAATATAATAAATAATAATATAATATAATATAATAATAATATAATATAATAAATAATAATATAATATAATAAATAATAATATAATATAATAATATAGTAATTATGACATAAAAAAATAGTAATATAACACGATAGCACAGTGAAAGCTCTGTTAAATGGTGCTATTACTAATCGATCTTTCTTAACCATTGTATGTTGTTAGCTCTTAGTTTTCATAACTAAACATACATTTCTTTTAAACGGATAAAATTACTGTCTCTATACATACTCGTTTAAGAGAGCTTTAACTGTATATTTTAATATTAACGAGCACATGTAATAAATTTAAATAAATTGAAAACTAAAAAAAATACTTACACCTGCTTCTTTAAAGCCTCCTTAACGCTATCAGCGTCCATTTCGATATAGGCAGCAGGAACTGGACCATAATAATGTGTGCCCATAAGCACATAAGACTGTTCTCCACCGGCACCTTCGGCCGATAAAAACGTAGCGTAATCTCCACCAGCTAACAGATGGCGTGGTAGGCGATTTGACGAACGACCTGGTCCCTGTCTTGAGAATCCGCCGCGGCCTTGGCGACCACCGCGGTACGACGTGCGGTAACGTCTCGGGCCACGCTTGTCGTTTTCTCTATCGACACGTTCGGACCCGCTGCCGCTACGCCAGGAATCAATCCTCGTAGAAGTGCTGGTAGACTGTTTTGACCGATCATACGAGTCCCGTTCATTTGCATTTGAACGACGTCCATCGTTTTGCCCTTGGTCGCGATTATTCCAACGTTCTTGCCGATTAGAGAGTGGACGCCTTGATCTGCCAATCGGTTTTGTTCTGCTCGATTTAGACAAATCAATTGGCAAAGGTCGCCACTTGTGCTTGGGAATTTTCTTATTGTTGCCATTGGTGCCTGAGGAAGTTGCCGCTGTTGTAGTAGCTGTTGCGGCATCACCACTATGTTGTGATGAGTGTGGGGATTTGGACACATTTTGCTGCGTTTGACTTTTATTAGAATTTGCTCCACTCGAAGAAGACTGATCAGCGGCGTCTGATGTGATTTCAGCAGCGCCGGCTTGAGACTGTTTTCTTTCAATATTCTGAGCAGACGGATTCTCTTTATTTGTACTTGAACGTTTCTTAGTTGAACGTCTATTTTCGTTGTTTGAGGATTTTGAGCCAATTAGCATTGGCCAATCGCCAACGTTACTAAAATCGCTAGCCTAGAAAAAAATAAATGGATTGGTTAGGAAATGGGAAATTAAGTAAATGAAATTGCAGTGTCATTACTTTTTGGTTAGCTTTTCTTTTGTCTTTTGCAACACCCACAGTCACTGGTTCCGGTTTAGTCGCTTCTATAAGTTGAAGAAGAAAAAAAAAAATATAATAAAAATGAAAAAATATTATTGGAAAATGGAATGGAGAAAAATATATATTTTTATTTTTATTATTTTTTTTTTTTTCGGTGTCAATGTATTGCAAGTTGGACACACCCAAACAGAAGAAACGCAATAAATAAACTTTGCTTGCTTTGCTTAATTTTTTTTAATAATATTAATAATAATATTTGTATGAAAATAATTTTCTTACTTTATTTTTGTAAGATTTTTTTTTTTTTTGGTTGAGAGCAAATTTATACAAAGACGCCATTTTAAAAATAATTAAAAATAAAAACTTAATTAAAATAAAAAATAAAATAAAAATAAAATGGTAGAGGAGATAATAAATTCAACTCACCAATTGAGGTCGATGCTGCTGCTAGTGTTGCTGTTGTTGTTTCTACAACTGCTGCTGCTGCTGCTACTGCTGTTGTTGTTGCTGCAATTGTTGTTGTTGTTACTGCGGGGTTTGTTGTTGTTGTTTTATCTGTTGTTTGTTTGTTATTTTTATTCTGTAAATTGTTGCTGTTATTAGTGTTGTTAGTGTTGTTTGTGTCAGTTTGATTTTGCTGCTGCTGCTGCTGCTGCTGTTGCTGTTGTTGTGTCTTTCTTGCCTGGAAAACACGTTTATCCAAAGGCGAGGAACCAGTTTTTGGACTTGAAGACTGTTGTTTACTTATCTAAAAAAATAAATAAAAATATTGTTTTTATTTATAAGTTTTATTTTTATATATAGAATAATACAAGTGAATTATTTATTTAGAGAAAAAAAAAATTGCTACGACTTTCTCTCTCACATTTCTTTCTATGAGACTACCACCTCAACCTCAGGTCACCCACCAACTCTTATTATCCCTGACACAGTTTATTTAAAATATATATATTTTAAATTAAAAATAAATTAAAATTAAGTGAAAAAATATTTACCTAATTTATATTTAATTAATATTATTTTTTTTATTTCTTTGCTTGAATTTTTATTTGTAGAGCAAAATAAATATTTTTCACTTGTCATTGAATATAAAGAAAACACTTTTGTGGCTGCAATACAATTCATTACTGTTTGAATATATCACAAATAGATTTTTTTTCTTCTCTTCAATATTTAATTAATTAATTGTAATAATTTTTTTAAAAAATTTTAATTTAAAAACTGAATTTTTCTAACTGCGAAGCGGTCGGTTTCACTGTTCAATAAATTCTGACTGAAGAATTGTCTTCTGCGTTCTTTTTGCTGCGACGACTACGTGAGCAAAGCAACGAAAAATAAAGATTTTTCAAACAAAGCCAAAGCCAAAACAAAAACAAAAACATTTACATTTACATTATTTGGGCGACAAAGAAACATGAAAAAGGAATAATTCAGAAAACAAAATACATAACGAAAAAAAAGCAGAGCAAAAGAGACTACGTAATTACTGTGCATGCAACCCTCTCGTGTGATGTGTACACATGTTTTTGTTGTGTTTGTTGTTGTTGTTATTGTTATTGTTGCTGTTTTCAGCTTGAAGCAGTTGTGGTTTTTCTTCTTGTTTGTTTGTTATGGAAAATTTGTGACTGGCGCAAACACGAGAGCATAACAAAACATAAGACGAAAACAAAAAAAACATGTTTTTTGAAAATAAAAATAAAAAACATGTGACGTTGTGCACGTAGGCCAGCCAATGGATCTCAAAAATTGCATCAACCGTCAGCCAAGCAAGGAAAAAAAATAAAGTTTTATTTTTAATTTTCATTTTAAAGTTTAAAATTTTCCACTCAAGAAAATTGTAAAGCAAAGAAATGATAAAAAAAAGTATAAGAAAGTATAAAAACTGTTCTAACTGTAATACTGTACTATTGAAAGTGTGAAGTGGAGTTGCTAAATTTAACAGATGAAAAATCCAAAGTTAAAATGTAGTGGTAAATGGTAGTACATCATTTACAAAGCTAGCGAAAACCCAACTCAAGCGTTAGATTGGAACCTATAGGACAACCGGCGATATAGCACCTAATAAGAACTATAGCTACTCACAATTGATACCAAAGTTATATAAGCTCAGTAGACAAGTACAACGACACCAATAATACCGGTTCCAATAACAGTCAATCCTACATATCAGAACCACCCGTCAAGTTTGACGAACATGTATTGAAGATAATAATACTATAGTTCAGTACTCCCAAAAAGCGACTACACAAGCAAGCAAGCATAACGATAATTCAACTCGATTCCAAAAACGGCCGGATTTATGTCCCGTAGTCACTCGTTGACCAAGTGCCGTTCGACACCCTCTCAAAAGAACTTCACAAGCAGATCCCAGCGACTCACAACAACAACATAATTCGACTCAAAACAAAACAATATTTAAAATTAACGGGGGCAAAAGTATAACATGTATGTGGAGGTCCGGTGTATAAATGGTAGGACACACATATAATTGTAGAGTTAGTTTTAGTGTTGATAGACAATATATTAACAATATATTATGTTATCTTAATTAGTAATTATATAATTTAAAAACACAAATAAAAAGACTCTAGAATATTTAAAAATTTAAAATAATTTAAATGTTTTATCAAGTGGTGGATTAAAATCTTACAAATGTGGTAAGTTTATTAAAATTTAATGATAGAAATCATAGTCTGATAGAATATGTGAAAGATTCTCGTAGTTATTACAAAAGCTTACAGGTTTCTTTATAATTATAAATTTGTATAGACTTAAGTGAACAGAACATAATATATAATATAAAAAATTAAGACAAAAAAATTAAATTTAATTATAATATTCACATAAGTCTATACACAAATCCGTAAGTATCTTATATGGGAGATATATTTAAACTTGATAACACGAGTGCTAAGATGAACATAAAATATCAAAACTTGAAATAAAAAAATTAAAATCATATATTTAGTTCATCTAAGCCCCTACTAGTCCATAAGCATATAAGAACTTGAACTTGATAACACATAAAACAGAACGTAGAACTCAATCTTTAAAATTGAAATAAAAATTAATTATATTATTGTAACTACTTCGTTACAACTGGAGAATTAAAATCCTCAATACACATAGTAGTGATAGCAATTAAAGAGCACCGGAATTATCAAAACTATATCGAAAGTTGAACTTTAAATTTATATTATAATTATTATAATGAGATTCCAAATTACAAAATGAAATATGTTATAGAATCACGATACCAGTAAATTGTTAGACCTGCACTACATAACACGTAAGATAATTTTTATGGACTTTCAATTAGTAGTAGATACACACAGTTAGAAAAGAAAACGTTGCTTTACATAAAAATTGCAGGGTTAATTAATTATATGACTAGAAGCCCAACAATTTTACACTTCATAACAAATCACAAATAACAAATTAAGTTAAATTAGATTAATTATTCCAAGTGATGACAGTTTGAAAAAGTTCCACACGTAACAGTCACGTTTCTTAACTCAAACTATAATTTATAGACCAACTTTTTTTGAGTGAACAAATTATGGAAAATTATATATTCCATCAGTTCTTTAAATAGATAATATCAAAGTTTAATACTTTAATATATGTGAGAAATAAATTAACATTTAAACAATAATATTTTTCATAAATATTGAATAGAATACTTTATTATAAATTAACACATATCAGATCAGGACAAGTGATTATCATTATTTAATATGTATTTTTATTTAAAAAATTTAGTAGTATATATTATTAATACCTTCAATAAATTATTTTCTTATTAACAAAATTGTTTTTATAGTTTATTTTTTTTTCTGTTATTTAATTAATAAATTTTATTTGCATTTATACACTTTAAGAAATTGGTACTGGGTATACTATTACTATTATACCAATCCACTTGAAAAGACAAAACTGTTATACAAGTTCCACTTGCGACGGCAAAAGTGATACTGAACCACGTATTTGTTGAGTGGCGAATATAACAGCAACCGGCAAAAGCAAAAAAAGCACAAACAACAAAATATATAAAACTAAGCAAATACACTGCAAATGCTGATTAGAGTAAAAAATCAAGAGAATTTGGAGTAAAAAATGAAAAACGTGTTTTTTTCGCTGTCGTTGATAAGTAATAATAATAATTTCTACTTTACACATTTATTGCGTTTTAGAAATTCAAATTGAAAGGCGCTATTTAATTATGTAAAATTCTACACAACACCATAAAAACTTAAAAATAAGAATTCTTACTCACAGCTCTGAGTGGAGAGACGGGTTAGAAGTGGTGTCAGTCGAGGTGTTTTTAAATCATTTGTAAATAAATAACACAATTTATCAGTCAATAAAAATCTAAAAATAGTGAAAGGTCGGTCGAACCATTGCTCATATAACCGACCGAGTTTTCTAATAGAAGCAAAATAAGCCGGGGCTTTGCCGAAGCTCTAATACCCTTCAAAGAGATAACTACAATAACCCGTACATATCAGTTGTTGTGTGTGTGTGTGTGACTATTTACTTACTACATTATTTTTCACCGAAAAGCTAAAATTTGTTTATTTAATATAAACCCAAATCAATCAGTAGAAGTTTATTACCGACAGCTATTTTGCATGGGCGCTATCTGTAAGAGCCAACCAATTTGTTCCTTTTGTAAACATGATTTACATAAAATCCCCAAGCATAGTTCCATTTGATAAGTTTAGTGCTACTGGAGAGATTGTAACTAATTATCAGAGAGTGGCATAACATGCATCATCATATCCCCAAAGATCAAATTTTGACGTGCCCATTACATTCTACATAACATGGGCGTCAGCAGTTCTTAATATCAAATAAGGACTAGAGCTCCCAGCCAAGTCCACTACTTCTGAACCAGAGCTTAGTCGGAGAGTTACAAAGAATGTGACATTCTGTAATCTAATAGAATCTCTGTATTAAAACTAACTCTCTGTATTGGCTATATGGAATTTTGTCCTTGTTAAGCACTTTTTACTTCATCTACAAAATATTAATGAGAACATTACTTATCGATCGATTTACATAAAATCCCCAAGCATAGTTCCATTTGATAAGTTTAGTGCTACTGGAAAGATTGTAACTAATATTTAGAGAGAAGCATATTGCAACATTGATTCGTCACATCGTACCAGTTAATACTCGTAGTGCACATATATCTACTGTATACGTTACAAGTCTTTTTTATTACTAACGAAATAACTACCTGTAATATTTCGATCAATCTAAAAGATCCGAGTTGGGCAAGAATCGATCCTTTATGAAAGATATTTTAGACAGATGGAGATAATATACCTAAAGACCAATCCATTTAAATAGACAATATCGAAAAGTTAATGATATGTCATCAATGATATTTTGCGTTCATGTCTTATATAGTCTGTATCTTCTCCTTACTACACATATTTTGTTTGCGTTATTGTTTGCATAATCATCTATTGATATAGACGCTATTTTCAGATACTCTTGAAGACCACACATACTCTTAAAGACCATATGTCTTCAGACACTTTTAAAGACCATATGTCTTTAAAGAGTCTTAAAGACCATGTATCTTTAAACAATCTTGAAAATCATATATCTTTAGACAATCTTGAAGACTATATATCTTCAGATACTCTTGAAGACTTTATATCTTCAGACTCTTTTGAAGATCATATTATCTCAAATGTATTATCACCACAAAAGTGTATAAATATTTTCTGAAGAAAA